AAGCAATCACCAGTTCTGTGATTTTTGAGTTCTTATTCATATTACTTCTGAGTAAAATTTAAACTGTTTCACTCTCTTTCTTGCATTGTAGAAGGAATATATATGAAATGTCTAGCACGTCCAGAAAACGGCGGATTTTTTTTTCGATAGCTTTAAGTGGGTAGGAACATTCCATAAGAGATCACTCATATATATGTACACAGCTGCTTCGTTTTTTTAATCTTGAGCGAAGCAAAAGTTCCATGTGCATATTGTTCAATGCATCCAATGCGCATATTACTTCCGCTTATAAGATTCATTAGTTTTGATAGGATAACCTAACTCTGTTTTTTCAATATTGAACAATTTCGACTAATTTTAATTAATAATATTTACCGGATTAAAATTTTGTGCTCTAAATTTTGGAAATTAACATTTTCCAGGTTCATCGACACCGGTGCTTTTTTTGACTAATCTACAGGCGAATGATAAAGTTGGACCATATATTTTTCAACTGGAAGTTACAGATGGTAAACGACAGAATGATTCGACAACCGTAGATATTTTAGTGAACAAAGCTGTCAATTCTGTTCCAGGTATCGTTTTCTCTGATTTAAGGCTCTTTTTTTCATAACACTTATATAGATCTTTATGTTTGTAGATTTTATTTGTTTTGTATTCTTGTGATTACTTTTTGAAAGTAGGAGCATTGAAGCTGGTCAGTTTTAATTCCATATAAACTTTATATTCGCATTATAACGAATGAGATAAAACTTTCTTTTTCTTGAAAGATTTTCGAGTTTTTAATTTAAGGATGTTTTCTTATACAAAATTGAAAGATAAAGTTTGATCAAATAGTCTGGTTCCTTAAAGTGTTTGCGATCAATTTCTTTGACGTTAAAACTGGAAAACTTTAGTGCGGCAAGTCGGTCTTCGTCTTATTTTTTATTTTTTCTTGTTTTCTAGAAAATTTATTTCGGTTGAACTTTTCTCCATTTTTAGTACCGTACGCTGGTGGAAACCAAACGATTCAACTGCCAGCAGAATCAGTGGTTCTTGATGGGAATGTCAGAGATGATGGACAAATTCTATCTTATAATTGGACTCAAATAAGGTGATACCTATTTAATATTTGTTTCTAAAAGTTGATTGTCTACAGAGTCAATCGATATCCTTCGGAAGTGTTGAGGTTAAATATAAAAGACCTTATTCTTATGTAAAGGATGATATTCCCCCACAGGGAGAAAAGTTGTTCTCTCTTTTTGCACTGTCGTTACTAAAGTTTCGATTTCTTATTTGGGGATTGAGATTGCTGTATGGAACTGTCTGCATTGAGTGGAATCTGCATTTCATGCACAAGAAATTTTATATCAGTCAGTATTACCGATCTTGCATAACCTCTGTTCGTTATGTAATAGTAAGACTTTCCATAGTTCAGGAGAATTCAAAAGATTTTTTTAGAGGACAGAGAGCATGAATGTTTGTTCTATGACAAAAACAAGAATGAAAATTAAGAAAATGAAAACTGATATGTTTTGATCATATTCAAAACAAAAAAAGTTATATCCCTGCTTCCTGCTTCCTACTACTACAAACTTTGCTTAAGATTAGTGGTGTTAAAGAAGAAGAGCAGCTTAGAAAAAAATTCGTTTCGTTTTAAAATATTATTCAAATAAGTTAGACAGCTGGAAAATCAAATTTTATGCGGTCAGCACGAGTAATAGGACCATTGATTTTACTCATTTTACTTTCTAGTTGCAGTCATTTCATTCTCCTTAAGTATAGTATTCTTTTACATCTTTAAATTTTCAGTGGACCGAATATGCTGAAAATCGTTAATCGGGATAGATCGAAGTGTACGCTATCTGGATTTCAAGAGGGAGTTTATCGTTTTCGTTTGAATGTTACTGACGATGGCGGTCTTTGGGGCTCAGATGACGCTTACATTATTCTTATCAGGAGTAAGCTTAAGAATGAATCTTTTCAAAGTTTTCGATTATGAATTTGGAAAATTTTAAAGATTGTTTTATGTCAACATTGTATGTAGAATTCATTGAAATCCTTATTAAACGGTTTATTTATATTTTAATGTTCCTTATTTTGCTTCTTATTCTGTACTTGATAATATAAATTTTAAAGCTGCTTCCCTATAACAATATGGGACCTAATTATAACCTAAATGTTAAGGCAAAAATGAAGCACCGATAGCAAAGGCGAAAGATTTAACCATTACTCTGCCAGCAAGTGTAGCGTTCCTGAATGGAAGTGAATCCTCAGATGATGCCGGAATAGTTCGATGGCTCTGGACCGCTCACGATGACGTTCCTGCTTGTATTGTAAATGCTGTCTTAATTTCACTCCTATATATTATTTTTAGAATTTCATTTGGGGCTGTTTAGCGGTTTTAAAGTAATCGTACTCCTAACTTTACACTCTGGCTAATTTTCAGACATTCCTGGGCAATTCGAAAGTAGAATCAGTGGCGATACTAACTGGTTTAGTTCGAGGCATATATTTATTTGATTTAACAGTTTGGGATCATTCGGGTGCGATGAATGCAACAACTGTTACGTTAACTATTTCTGTAGGTAAGTAAAAAATTTATTTAGATTAAGTTCTATTGCCATATACCTCATTTTTTGGTTCCGGATCTTCAAAGAGATCTTCACTAAGTGACTCTGCAAATCAAGTTTTGGCAGAGCTAATTACTAGAAAAGATCAAAATCTCCTTCCCTGCCTTCCATCAGTTAAGCATACTAATTGTAGTCTTTTTCGAGATATATTGGCAGTTTCTTGGAAAGTCACTTAAGCATGTCACTTGTAATTTAGAGATAGCTGTAAACTCTAAATTCTATAGAAAAGGATAATTTATAGGCGTTCCACATTTGCAGTCGGTGGAAGTGTACCTGAAAAAACAGTTTAATGAATTTACATATCGTATAAAAAATAAATTTGAAGAACGGCTCAGTGCAACTCTTTCATCGCAGGTATTCCTTATACTAATTTGAACTGACCCCTTCGGCCAACGTTTTTTTGTGCAGTACGATTACCGTTCTTGTAAAAAAAAAGAAATCAAATAATTCGAATAATTTATAAAAATAAATCGAATAAATTGATGTTTTTTAGTTCTTCACTAATTTGTTCAGCGTTTATGAAGTTTCTTGAACACTATAAAAAATATGAGAAAAGAAATCGCATCAAAACATTTTTGTTTTCATGTAACTCTTGTTTTATTTTACAGATAGAAGAAGCAAAGAATGTAATTGTCCTATTTTCATCGATTGATGAAGATTCTAGCACAGGCCGAATACGGATCGTTTTCCGAGCTAATTGTGTTAATATCGCATTTCCTTCAAGTAATAACCTGTAGTTTGATCATTATCATTGGTGATTTACATGGATTATTTTCAAAGATTTAAATCAAAAACCCTATAGGATTTTCTTGAATGAGTTTTCTATCGTAAAAGGTTTTCACTGCCCATATTGAAACTTAAGACAGTCGATGGATCTGTTGGATAAATCTGTCAATACATGATTTTTTAGAGTCAAATATAGAAACAATCCCACAGCCGAAGGATGAAAAAGTAACAGTTATAGAAGCATGGAAAATTGTTAAGATTTTACGTTCAGAAACGACTATGATGACAGGATTTAGTATTGATTCAGTTAATGCTTTATGTAAGTCATCTTTTTTATCAATATTTACTCTACTCTTCAGCTATTCAACATGATGTGATATTCATACAGATGTGTATGACATTTTAGCAATTATTTCTTTCCGTGTTTTAGCTTTTAGAGATAAATTACAAAAAATTATTTAGCACGAAATACACTTATGATTCTTCTAAAAGATTAATTATTATTTAAACATATTTGTCAAAAATAAAAGATGAAAAATCAGACTTATACTGTAAAATTTTATAACAGATTGTACTCGAAGTTGCTCAGGACATGGAGTATGCAATAATTACACAAAGGAGTGTGACTGCGACAGATATTGGATGCCAAATCTTTTATCTTATATTATTTTTGGTTCCAAAATAGATTGTGGTAATCTTTTCGTTAACTTTTCTTTAATTGCTTATTTTTGGGTATATTTAACTGCTTGTTAACCTGTTTTTGGTAGTTTGGCGAATGACGTTACAAGAGAATGACACTGAAGGTACTAACTATAGTCGAAACTAATGAAGGATTGAGCTTACTAAATTCATCATCTTTAAATTTTTATTAACAGTATTTTCAGTGTATGATATTCCAAACGCATTCACTTAATAATCTTCATTTCCTTCCTGCTATTGATCATATTTTTGTGGCATAATAAGATAATATTAATCAGAAAGAGAATATTTAAAGCTTTTTAGTTTTGCATGTTTTCCACTTTATTACTTGGTTATAACATTGAATAAGAGTTTTACGCAAAGACGTTAACATTGTGAAGACAGTAATACGTTATGTTTTCAGCTTGGTCGGTGCTTTACGTTGCATTGTTATCTATATTATTACTTTTCCTTATTACGCTGTTAATTGGTCGAAAAAGTCTACAAACTTCTTCGTATGGGAATTCTAACACAAGTGAAATTTTTAATTCAAATTTTTAAGCTGATTCCAGAAATGATTTTAGTTAAATCGAAATATATAGAAAAAATAGAAAATTATGATCTTTTTATTTCTTTTCTTTTATATTCGAAAGAAAAAATAGTTAATTTTTTACAAGTACTTCTAATTACACTTAATAATATTCGCATATTTTTTAGTGAAGTGTTGCGTACCCATTTGTTTACCATTCCCATTTATAAAATACTTAGGTAATAATCATCATCGAAAGAGAAGACGTTTGCGTAAAGCAGTCAATCCTGAAAGGAGATTGAATGAAACTAAATCTAACGGATATGTCAAAGGTAAGAATCAACTATCTTTTTAATATACGAAGATTCAAATAAGTTGTATTTTTTTGTAGAGCTGTCGTTTTTTAACTTTATTTAACATTCATTATTCGTATGTTTTATTATTTCTTTTCGATTCTTCAATTTGTTATCAAGTTTTCAATTTTTATTTATTGTAGTTTTTTTTAATCTCTTTGGAAATTACAATAAGCAAAAATCTTATTCAGCAGTTTCAATGCTTTTGTCTGTCACGCATTTCATACTGGTATCAGTATAATTTTTAGAGTATTAATGTTGAAAAAACATAGTCGAAAAAGGTAATAGAAAAGCATCCGCGTAATTCATTTGTGCGCCATGCTTAATAGTCATTCACTTTAGTGCTACTGAAGAAGTCCAACTTTTCTCACAGCTTTTATCGAGGCAATCAACCTAAGTTTTATTGTGCCCTTAGCACAGATCATTTCTATCAAACTTTTATAGATAAATTGAAATAGATGGTCTTGTTGGTCGCAACAGGAAAGCATTGAACTAATATTCTTTTAGTGTTGTATCGTTTGATTTTCTCTTATTCCACAATAAAACGTATAAAAAAGACGTTGGAAATAAATGCTTTTGTTGAAGAAATTATAGAAGTGAGAATAAAAATAATGAAATGTAGAAAAGTGATACACAGAAACTAAGAGTGACGTTTTAATTACGCTGCTCTTACTTAGTTCTTGGACAAAAAAAGTTGGTTCAAACTCATTGGACAGTTAAAGATTGCTTTTTTCATCTGAATCATTTTTTCAAAAATTTTTTTGTTGAAGATATTTTGATATTAAGATTAATATTCATTATAATCTATGTTATGGTTTTAAATTCATTCTATTTCGGTAGCAGCAAAGCTTTCTTTAACGATTTTTCTAATCTGGACCAATTTTTGACATCAAAGTTCATTAAGATGAATGAGCAAGAATGCTTTTAATTATTTAATTGCTACTTTTAAGGCAACAGGGATAGCTCATCCTACGCGTTACTGCTGGCTGGAGAAAGTTCAAGTTCGGAATCAAAAACAAGCAAATCATCGAAGAAATCAAATTCAAGCACTCGATGGTTTACTTCGAATACTCAACGTTCCACTGCTGCATCTTTTAATTTCGCTTGACAGATATAAGTGCTCTGTTGTGATTGTCTCTTTGAATATTTTTTTTTGGTTCGTAGTTTACTTTTTTAAAAGTGTTTATTTTTGGGAGTAGTTTTATGTTGACACTAATATGCTCAGCATTTTTTTACACTCCATAGACAAGAATTTTGTTACTCGACCTTGGAACATTATCCTTTTCTTCAACTGAAAATGTGTAATTTGATAAATCAATACGGACTGAATATTTTGTTTCTCCGTTGTCCATAGTTGTTATAAATTATGTCTGCTAGCTCATTTGATCATATTTATGTAGAGTAAAGATAACATTTTTCTATTGGATGATAAGCACTTAAAAAGGATTTTTGCACTTCATAGAAAATTTAATTTCAAGATAGTTGAAAATAATCTCTTATCATCAATTGATCCCAATCCTTCTACATCTTTTCTATTTTATTTTCTTATGTTGAAGTGTCTGCATCGTACATCCAAGTTAAAAAGTGGCCAATATTTGTTATCTTATTTTATTTAATCGCTTTAGTTGAAAGCACAATGGGTTTGACATCTGTATTTTTGAAGTTTTATGTTCCTTCATATTTATTTGTTTCATTTTCAGTAATCATTTCATTTAATTCTAATGCAAAATTGACAACTTCAATATTTTCTTTACCGTACTCTTTCTCTATCGGTAAAGAAATATCAATTTTTGGAAGCTTAACCTTACGCTACAATTATTTTAATATTGTTAGAAAGATTCAGTATTGTAGTATGATTTTTTTGGTAGTAAAATATTTTTATTTGTTTTATACTTAATAATATTTTATTTACTTTGTACTTAACAAATTGAATCCTTAAGACATGAAACCGTAATCACTTATTGTTTTGGTTAAACTTGTTTTTTTCGTTCATGATGGGTATTTTATTTTATGCTGTTATACTTTCTCTCAGCTTTTGTTCTTAGTTTATTCGCTTCATACTAATGATAGAATTATGTTATCCTGGGTGGTACGGATAGATATCCTCCGTATTTGAAACATTTACATAAAACATGAATGAAATAATATTAGATATTTTCATTACTCGTTTCTTTCAGTGTAAAACTGATCCATATCTTCTTGAAGAAAAAAATTCATACTTAAATTTGATTCCTCTAATAAAGTACTAGAATGTGAAAACTTTGTGAACTTTCATTCCTCAGACCATGCAGTATTTTGTCATTCAGTTTGAAATTTAAGATATGTTTATGAAGGTTCATTTTAGGCGATATATGAAGTGTTTTAGGATGAAGCAATTCTTTTGACCGTTTTACACCATTTTTGGTTTCCAAGGGTAAAAAGTTTATTGTGGTTTTGAAAGTTTATTGTGGTTTTCAAATAAACAATAATCTCGTTGTACGAAGTGATTCTTTATCAATTGTTGAGTGTGGTTAAAGAAAATTAGAATATTATTGGTCGAAGTTTTCACTTTCCAAAGTTTATGCAGTAATTATTTGTTCTTACCGGTGCGGAAAGGTTAACAATTTTCACTTTCCAGAAATTAAACTTTTGGAAAGTGAGAACTTGTTGCGAATCGGTGACGAGAGTATTGCGGTAAGTCTGAATTGCGATGTTTTATAAATCTGATTTGTCTTTATCAATCAATCATTTAAGAATTACAATGAATTCATCACAAATTATTCACTCGATGATCAAATGATTACGTCTGTGGAGGTAACTATTAATGTTGAGTGAAAATCACAATGTTGGAAGCATCAATTCCAGTGGTAGAGGACCACTCCCGAGTGATTATTTATGTTAAGCAGTTCGGTCCTCGATCACCGGCTTTGTTTAATTGCCTTTTGGAACGATTACACCGAGTGCAGTGCTTGCAAGGTTTTATTATATATATTCTCAATCGAAAATATTGTCCTTCTAGGCCTGCCTACTTGAGGATGGTCAAGAATCATTAGTGATAATTATTATTAAAATTAGTAGTAATTAGTAATAGCAATCATTATGATTAATAATTAATAA